ATACATGAGAAAGTTGAAATTTTTTGGAAGAATTGCAAATACTGCATTTCTATAGTTGACAGCTTTCTATTTGTATTGGAGATGTTCAAGGACTTCTTGTGTCTTCAGGTTAAGTGCAGAAATATTAGGGAAAGGTGGGAATAATTCCAACTGAGCTATTTTATGCCACTTTCCTGAGTGCCCCTGCCTTTTCAGGGGCTTACCTCACTGTGTTTAAGACCGGCTCACTGAAATGAGCTGTTGAGAAAACCTGGAAGGAGCCTTTCCTCTGTCTCTCCCACCAAACTACTCTGCATGTGGGCTCCCTCCCAATTCACTTGGGAGAAGCTTTTAAGTTGAGATTGGTGCTTGAAGATGACTTCACTATAGAGCTATGTAAACCAAACTTACTGAAGGCTATCTAAAGAACAAAACAACTCATTTTTGCAAGGGGCTTGGATGGGATACTGATTAAATACCATCTTCAGTTTTTTAATTAACGTCTGTTGTATTAATCAGTTTACTGATCCTGCTCATTGAGCCCTGTTTCACTAAGTAGAGAATTTGTGTTTTAAATGTTGAATATGCAAAGTCTGCTTTATGCCTTTGCACTTCATCATCTCAGATGCAGTTGGCAATCCATCCTGTAACAATGTCACAAAAAGAATATTTGTTTTTCTTCCTTTTTATTTGACTAACCATTCAGTACTTAAATAACAAACTACTGGCTTCAGTTAGTCAAATTATAGTTGTCTAGGTGATTTCTTTCTGAGCAACTGGCTTCCTGTTCTAGCTCCGTTTCCTTTCAGTTGCCTTCACCGTTTAGCAGAACTACAGAGCTGCACCTTTTCTTTAGAGTTAGAAAACACACATTCTAAGCCATAAAGCTCAGATATTGCTTTTCATCCTACATGTTTTTTTATAATCAATAAAAACACATAGCACACAAATAGATTTGTCCCATGTAGTTCTCATTCTTTTCCATATTTTCCCTGCAGTTCAGTGAGTTTAAATCTCACTAAGGAGGCCCTTTCATTTAGGAGAAAATATCTGATTGCCTGAAAAACAGAAAACAGTGTTGATAGTAGTTAAAAAATTGGACTTTCCACCTCAATAGTTGAGCCATATCAGCCTCTGACTGGCATTTACTATTCAGAAAAGGTAGAAGTTAGGTATTCTTCCTTCCATAAGGTTGGAGAAACAGCTTATTTGACATCCCACTAGGACTCTCCTCTGGAAAATGTCTCTTTGGATCTTGCTAAAGCTTGATCTTAATTTACTTTAGCCATAAAGAGCTATATTTTTGGGTCTCATTGCTACTGATGTCATTCAGTTGCACAGAAGGCCACACATTGATTGGTCTGTTTTGTCTGGAGGTTTTCTTTACAGCCCATTAACTTTTGAGGGTGAAGAATCTCTTCTCTGACCAAAGAAAGTGTTTCTTTATATAAGCTTGCTGGTTGATACCTTACATGAAGGGAAATACACACATCCCCCATATTGCATACCCTCCTCATGCCAAGAGTCCCTGAGGTCAGTGAGACCTAGACAAGGAGGGTGCTTCAGTGCCTGCCTGGTAGAACAAAAGAAACAGTGGGGAAAGGTATAAGAATATTTGGTCTGCATATGTTGTTGATGTATTTTTTTGTTAAAGTGTGCATTTCAAATATGTTTTTCTGTAAAAACCGTTTGTATGAGTTGGGAAAGTGTGCTCAATGCTAGCCATATTTTTTTCAGGAGATGAAATAGCAAAAAAGTGAAAATGAAAGCTGTGAAGGTTACATAGAGTAGCTAGGTAGGAAAGCACAACACAGAACTGGTGGGAGAGATGAAGAGGAAGAAGAATAGAGGAAAAGCCAGCCAGCTCAGCTTTGCTGGGCCACAGCAAGACTAGTTACTCATTTCAAAGTGCAAATGAGAGTTTCTGCAAGTAGAGAAAAATACCCAGGAGACCTAAGGCATTCCTCAGAGGAAATGAACATCAGGTAGTTTATTTAAAACTGTTAGTATTTTATTCTACCTTACTAGTAATTTTTGGTATATAAGTGCATATTATTGGCTTTTTACAAATATTAAAATGAACGTTATACGTATAAGGTTAGAAAACTTTGTTGTATTAATATAGTTTCTTCTATTTCTGTTATTGATGAAACTTAGAAATAGTGGTATAACACATATATATATGTTAGGTTATAACATGATATTCAGGCAAGAACTGCTTTTGTTTATATAACCCAGAGACTGAAAAGATAGTCAGAGACCCACCCCCCCCTGCTTTCTTTGATTATCTTATCCAGATGAAGACAGCAGTCCTCCAAGTCCTCCAAGGGAGGAATTTATTGCACCTGTTGTCAGGGACTGTAAAATCCAGCGGCGCCAAGATGATTGATCTACTGGGAAGGGGGCAAGTTAAAAACTAAATAAAGGAACATCTGAAACTAAAGAAGAATGTCTGAATTATGTATGAGTATTTATGAATATGTAGTAGGGTTCTGTTTTTAAGGGACAATCCTTTGTTGGTAAGGTGTGCTGTCTTGGCTGAATGCAGAGACACCTGGCCTTATTTGTGTATTTACTTTATCTCCTCATTGTCTTTCTATGAAACTTTCTAAATTCTATATAAAAAAATATGTGAACCTCGTTTTTCACAGTATATTTAATAAAATATGTTTTTATTTAGTCACTCGATTAATGCTTGCTAATAATTAAAACTAGATTTTAACATGGCAAATTTAATTTATCCTTACTGTTCAATTAATGTAAACAATAATCTCAAATTCCTGGGAGAAGAAAGCTGAATGCAGCTTTCTTTTTCTATAGATGTTACTGAAGTGCTCACAGTTCTTACTGCCTTGCCCAAACGGTGTTGAACATATAGCAGTAGAACGGTTTGTGTTCAAAGTGACCTTAAAAGTCATGTTTTTTTCCACTCCCCTTCCATAGAAAAGAACACCTTTCACTAGACCAGGTTGCTGATGGCCCCATCCTGGCCCTAAACACCCCCAGGAATGGTGCATCCACAACTCCTCTAGGCAACCTGTTTCAATGTCTGATACTGTGTGGAGTATCCATGCCTTTATAGAGGGCTTTTACTTTTTAACAGTCTCTTCTGCAAGTATTTTTCAGCCTTTGAAATACATGCACTGCATTTTTTGTTAGACAAAGCTGCCATCTTGTGGCAGAACGTTGGAAGTGGTATCAAGCAGTTTTACTTCCGGTGGAGAAACGAAGTCGAATTTTTAGCAGTATTTCCAGTATTGTTTGTCGTATCATCATACGCTGAACCATGATCCTCATATGCATACATACTGAAGATACCTGATGAGCTAGCAAGTGAATATTTAGTCCTTAAGAGAAGGCACTTATGACAAATGCCTGATAGCAAAAAGTGTTCAGCATTGGGAAAAGTGTGATAATTCTTTCCTCTAATAAGAAGTCAGCTTACAGTTTCAAGGCCTTCTTTATTAAAAAAATAAATAAAAAAAATGTTATTATCTTTCATTTTCAGAGAAGGGGTTAAATTACTCATGTATTTGTCTTACATCTAAAAACTGATAACCTAGGATGAGACATTAGTGACTAGATGATAAAACTAATTAAAGCTATTCCTATTTATCTTTAACCTTGCAATTTTCTCATTTACAGTAGCAATTTGTAAATGTTGCAAATATAGGACCTCTATAAATAAAATACACAGACTATATGTATCACAATTAAGATTTGTCAGCAAGACATACAAGGTTTCTAAACAGCCTAAAAATGAATAAAGTTTAGATCAATAACGTTTTGATTAAGATTAATATTTAGATTTTATATTATTTGATTAAAGGAGAGGTGAAAAAGGAAAATAATTGGTGCATGAAATCGGTATCAGAAGAATAACAGTAATTAATTGTGCACAGGTGGGCTTGAAAGAGGCATCTGTTGCACGTTGCTGAAGCAGTAGGGAAGTCACAGATGTGACAGCCTGTGTAATCACAATATGTGTAAGTTCTAAGGAGTCAGCTTGCTCTCAGAATTGTTTTTAACTGACTTTTGCCTTTAACAGAAATCAGTTTAGTGTTTAGATAATTTTTTGGTGTGTTTTATGAGGTGGATTGCAATGTAGAAGTAAATAACAGAAGATGGTAAATTAAATATTATTTCAGTAGAAACACCATTATAGAACACCAACCTTGCTCTTGCTCTGACTTAATTTTTAAGACTTTTAAGTCATTCTGACTTCAAAATTAGGTTAGTGTTATTCAGCATTTTGGAAAGAAATGAGTTTTTAGAGATTGAAAACATGAATAAGGAATGGCACAAATACTTCTCGTTTACTATCTGTACCTTCAATACAAAACCTTAGTAAAAACAAACAAAATGTCAAAGCCATACATTTTAAAATTTTAATGAAAAAAGTTCTTTTTCCGCATTTGATGGTAACCTAAAAGACTCCATTACAATAATAGATTGACAGATTTTGTTGAGGCAACAAATCTCATAAATTCCAGAAAGAGATTACATGTTCACAGGAGCTAACACTTGTATGTATCTTGTATGATATTCACAAGAATGAAAAGTATTATTGGAGAATATAAACGCAGAATTAATAGCTAACAAATCTGAAAATAAGAAGTTACCTCTGCCTGTACATTAGGCTTTAGTGTGAAGAATTTCATAATTATTAATACTGGACATAAAGTAATCCATATATTATACAATGATTCATATGATTTTGATTTAATGAATAATTTCTAATGTTTAAGATATGTAGAAATATTGTGTTGACTGAGTATGGCATGTGCAAACAGTTTAAGTCCTCAGAAATCTATCTTACTTTTCTGTATAAGAGATGTTCACCTTTATCAAGCAAGGACATGGCTATTGTACCTGGCTTTAGTAAAGAGGTTGAAAATAAACAAATAGTCTTATGTTGACTGATATCTCTGTCACTTGTTCTTTCCAGAAGTATCATGGAAATATTCATACATTTCAACAAGAAAAAAGAGAAATTGGGCTGTGAGTTGCCAGTGGTTCTGTCAAGTGAACACCTTATTTTGCCACTTTAAATGAAGTTTTTCTGAAAGATTGCTTCTGCCACTCTTCTGCAAATAGCGAGACAGGAGCTGCTGCTTATCAGCCGACTTTGGAAGGGTCTTTTTCCAGCAGCAAAGCACCTCATAGATCTGGTGTGTGAAATTATCAGGGCACTTCAGCCTAAGAAGCTGAACTACGCTCTGTCGAACAGGTAAACATAAAGCAAACAATGATGTATTATCTTCTGCAAGCTCTTCTGCAAGCCAAAGCAGCAAGTTGTCCCATAGGGCCTCTGAAGAGCAAAAATTAGTGAATAAATCTTCCTTTTTTTGAAAAGCTTTTTACAGCTGGAGGCTCAGTAGGTAAACCCCCCTACTAAATAGGGTGTGTTTTATACTTTGGTGAAAACATCATCCCATCTCCTTTCCAATGACATTTTGGTAACTGCTCTGCGGTACAAAGTGAATTTGGTCAAGAACAGATTCAGCAATGATCTATAATTTTGGGAACTGAATGGGGAAAGTTAGCAATTAATAAAAAGGGTTTCAGTATTTATTGCAACTGATCCATCAATTATGCTGGAGCTTTCCAGTAAAACTGAATTTTCTTATACATAAAATTATATGATGTTCAAGTATTCCACTACAACAATATCTTACAAGAGCTTTTGCATTTCCTGGTAAACAGATCTTTTTTCCTTTGACTATATCTTAATGTGTTAACTATTTCCTTCCTGATATGGCGTTTTCAAGTGTCAGTAAGAGCTGAAACAAATCTTGGAATTAAAAAAAATAGCAAGTATAGCTCTTTTTTATATTGATATTAATTTAATGGTTGTTTTCTTTCCTGATGAATCAGAAAAAAATCTTTTTGTACTTTGTGGACAGTGGATCAGTTTTTCATGCTATTAAAGAAAATGTGTTGAGGAAAGAGAAATGATTATGAATAAGAGGTGAGGTGTATGACTTGGGAGTGGATTGCAGTAAAATCTTGGGGATTTAACTCAGCATTAAAAATTTGTTCTACTTACAAAGACTATTTTTGTCATTATTAAAAACCAATTAACACCATCAGCAAGTATAAAACAGTATATAGCTATTAAAATAAAGAAATTAATAAACTTTTAATCTATCAAATTTATTTATTTATTTATTTATTTAAATTATTTGTTTATTATCTCATAAAAAGTTCATCCTTCATGCTATTTTACAAATGTTTGATTGATAGCATTATGCCATAAGTGATGTATAGAAAATCTGTATAGTACTTCTGTAAATGCTACAAATTCTAATTTTGAATACTGCATTAACTTTGCCTTCTTTTCAAGGGAAAGAACAATTTTTAGGTATGTAGTAGCTATTGTTAGGTCAGGTAACTACACTGTATTTGCAGCTACAGTTATTCACTTTACATAGTTCAGCTTTTAATAAAACACCATGAAAAATCATTAAAATTCAAAAGATAAATTCCTTTAGAAGGTAAAAAGTTTTCCCTGTTTCTTCCTCTAAACATTGGAGAGGAAGAAAAAATACTTTGTCCTGTTTTATCTAAGGCTGAGAAAGACTGAAGTCTTCTGGGCTTTAGTGTTGTTTCCTACTGCATATAGAACAAGAAATTACTTATGTAAGTATTGAGCACAAAAAGAGATTAGTTTGTATGGAGTGAAATTGAGATTTTTTTTTTATTTTTTTATTTTGAAAGTAAAATTATCTTCTGTCAGAGCCCATGTTACGTTTGTCACACACATTCAGTTGTATTACCTGGCTGTTTATTCACGGCTCTCCCAAGGAGATTTGCCTGAGGATTATTCACTGATCGTCTGTTTTTCCTTGGGGAATTAAGAGCATTAAACTCTCACTGGAAAAGTTATTATTTTCTTTCTGATATACTGAGCATTATGGAGCTTATCTTAATCACTTCTATAATACAGACTTTAAATATTGTTCAAAATTTGGAGTGTCTCAAATGTACTGGGTGCACAGCCATAAGGTCAATATATTCATAACCATTACCTATTGTGAATTAAACAACTTTTCATGAGGTCTGTATGCAGTCATCCTGGGAGGTGATTTTGGTATCCACAGGATGCACAAATTACACACTGCATAGTGGTGCAAAACCATCCTGTGCTGTACTGCTCTTGGGGGTTGGACTAGGTGACCTTTAAAGGACCCTTCCAACCCCAATTATTCTAGGATTCTATGATCTGAATCTGTCTCGTTTTGCATGCTTCTACAGCAATTCTGTCATTGGATGTGCCCCAATGTGAAGACAGAATGACATGACTAAAAACCTCTCAGAATAAAGGGTATTTAAAGCTCTTCCAGAAGGGGGCATTGCTTTTCTTCCAAGACAGTTTTCCCTGGTTTTGTTTAATTACGCATTTGTATTTAAATTTATTTTCATTCATTGATGAGAATTTACCACCTCAAAGGTCTGTATTAGATTTTCAAAGTTATTGTAGATGAACTCAATTACCCGTGAGCTGACTTTAATCTGAACCACTTTATGCTACTTAGTGTTAAAATAGTAGTAAAAATTATAAGAATTGAAAATTAGTATTGTCTAGAAATAGTGTAATAGCATACAATGCATTAGATCTAAAACAGTAAATTGCCTTTAAAGATTAAGTGTCTGTGGTGAAGTGCTGAATTCACCCACGGTTCAGCTGCACCGGCATGTGGTCCTGCTGTTCTGGTTGGCAGGTTAAGTAAAATACTCTTAGCAGCCAAAGCAGTTTTCTAGTCTGGAAGGCCCTTCAATTAGCCAAGCAAATGCCTTTCTGAAGCAGGGAAGAGTGTGCTATTCTGCTGTTAGACAGTCATTAGACATAAAACTCCAGCAGAATGGTAATTTTATAATGTCTGTACGTATTAGAGCAATCTATTTTTGCAAAGCATTCCCTGCCAGTAACATTGAGGTGCTCTGTCAAATGGACCTCTCAGACATGACCAGACTCCAGCAGCACATCAAACAGGGCAGACAGAAAAGGAGAAATTCCTCTTTTACCTCCTTAGCCCATTGTGTCACATAAATACAAAATCTTTAAAATCAGTAGATTTGCACACACATCCTTGACATCAGACCTAATGCACTGTATCTGACTTGTGTTCAATGCAATAGGTTAGAGGAACAAGTGTTTTCCATTGCTGAGGAAATGAAAGCACAAAAAATAGGAATCATTAGTGAAGATCAGATTACTTCTGTAAAAATACATGTTTAAAGTAAAAACTGATGTGAATTGTTTCATACAAAGTAAACAAAGACTCTTTTGATCACTGCCAGCAATATATTTGTGAGTGGATAATGAGGGCATATACATATAAAAAATGACTTATGATTGTATAGTTACTGCCTTCTCTGCAAAAGAAATTTAGGTGGGAATTTTACAGAAATGAGTGAAAGTGTAGTATTCAGAATGGGTGCCTTAAAAATATTCCATCTATCTTTGTCATAACCAAAATCAGACATACCAGATTCTTTTAACTATCATCTGGAAAAAAAATAATTTTGTTGAGAAAAGTGTAAAGACAATTAAAAATTAGTTCAAAAACAGAGACATGCTACTGTTTGTCACCAGAGATTTAGACTAAGTGTTTCTGTAGATATTTTGATATTAAAATATATGCAACTTTGATAGTAATAGCTTAGTGGCAGCATTTTGTGCAGTATAGTATGCTGGTATATAGGCTCTTTGAAAAGTTTTCAATGAGATTTAATTGCAGAAATATTAAAGATTAATTTATATAGCATTAGCTTTCACCAGAGATGGAGATAATTGCCCATATGACTGTACTGAAGAGGCTAATCAGGAATAATAGTATAATCAGGTGATAATTGGAAGACAGGTGATACAAACCATTTAACGATCCTACAATTTGCAATTCTGTGCTCCCAAGACAGTGAAACAAGAATGATATAACTGAAACTTCACTAATAATTTCACAATGCTGTAACAGCTGGGGAGAGTAGATAGGTGAAAATTTTCTGCCAGAAATTCTTCCATACTTACTTGGATATGGATCCCTCCCTACAGCTAAGAGAAATTCTGAGAATGTTTGTACATCGATGATGCACCAGAAGTCTTGTGTGTATTTGTAAATCAAAAGTCATACCAAGATCCTTTTTCTAATAAATATATGGTAAGGCACAAAGGGAAAGGTCTCTAATGTTACCAAGTGAGAAACGCCCCCTGGGCAATGTTAATGCTAATTTGCACAGTGGAGACTGGTGTTGATATTCATCATATGGCAAGGTTTGTTCCCATTTCTTTGGTATCATCTCCCTGGTAATTTTATAAAACACTGCTGTTCCTGTGTAATGAGGTGAACTGTGGTTACCAAATTCATCCACTTCTTTAATTTGGAAGCCTTGGTTGTCTTTGTGAATGAAAAATCAGTCTGTAGAATTTGCTGAAGTCTTCTCTATTCTCTGCAGTCCATATAATAAAATGTTTTTTTAAAAAAATGTTTTTACCCTGCATTCAGATACATGGCATCTAAACAAATTCATTAGCATGAGTCAAGTAAAGGTAATCACACAACATTTGGTTGTTTCTTGGTTGCTCTTTATCATAATTATTGCTTTTTTTAACATCTGAGGTCAGCTTGCTTCAGTAGTAGGCATATCTTTGTAGCTAGCTTTTTTAGCCCTTTAATAACTAGCTTAAAGGATAAATGGTGAAGTCAGTGCTACAAGTTGAAAATTAAGGAACAGAAAAGGAGGTATGTACATAACGAATAAAAATAAAAGGGTGTTGTGAATGGAATTAGAAGTATTTGCTTTCTGGTTATTCAGGATGGATGTCTATCTGTAGCAACAAAATGAATGGCAGCAGAGGGGTAGATGCAGTTTTAGGTTTTCTAAATCTATTTATTTGATACATCTGTATACACTGTCCTTTGTGTATATAAGCGGATGTCTCAGGGGCTGGAGACTTCTCTTTTTGAGAATATTCCTTTCTTTAGATTACATGCAGTTTTCAATGGGAGAGTTTATGCATAAAATGTTCAGAGGGCCAAATACATATTTCTATGTTCACTCTAAATCAGACAGAAGACACTATTTGCAATTTTGGGTGAAAAGCTTTCAGAGGCTTCTTATCACTTTTCCCTTTAAGCAAGACTTGGAATGGTGGCAGCCACTATGTGGAATTTTCTAGGCCGCTAACAAATGGAATAACTCATCACCTCAAATCACAGTGGAACTCACAACAGGCAATATTTTGCCTTAGTTTCTTGCTCACTCTAAGTGAATTTACACAGACAAAACAGCAGACAGAAACCCGTCCTTTTAAAAGAATTCTTAAAATACTGTATATTTCTGAGGGACCAGGTTTCACAGAATTCACAGGCGCTTAAGAGATATCTAAAGATTATCTTGTTCAACTCTCTTGCTCAAAGCAGGGTCATTTAGAGCACGTTGCTCGGGAGCTCATTCAGGTAGATCATTTTCTTTAGAGCTGGAGCAGTTTCTCATTAAGCTCCACATTCCTTTCTTTGACCAGAAACAAAACACTGAAATAACTAAATGTACTGTGACTAACTACCAGTGTTCCCATACAGGATTTTTTAATAGCTGAGGTAATTGATAATGTTCATACAGATGCATGAATTCATTGCCTTTCCTGAAGCAGAAATGTTTCCTCTAAATCTAAAATGAATTTGCTCTCCTTGTCTTAATGGGAACTGCTGTGTAGGTTCTGGGGGACCAAAATAACCCTCCTCATGGAGATTTTGAAGTTCATTGGTCAATTCTTTGGATACAGATAGCAAAACTACTATTTTATATGGATTTTCTCTTTTCTGATACAGTATCACATTAGACATGGTGCTTTGGAGAGCTTCTTCCAGAGCCTGAGCAAAGAGGAGAAGATACATATTTTCCAAAGGGAATGACAGGCAAATGACCACAAAGCTGTATTAAAAATAAATAAATACAAAAAAAGGAAAGAAAATTAAATTAAAAGGCTTTATTTTAAATAACTTTATCAACTGCTAATAATTTATTCTTAAAAATAATATGGGGCTCAGCCTCCAAGAGAACTTCTGCTACCTATTCATCCTTGCTTTCAACACATGAAAAGGTGTAAATCTGCTTGTGTTTGTAGTGTAGAATATATTGACTATGTAGCTGTGATTTCAAATACATATGAATTTTACATGAAAGTAAGATAATATTTTGTAATAAGAATTTAAAAAACATTATGTTTTTTTAGTTAGAGACTAAATCACATTTGCCAGTTAAGACTGATATCTGTATTTCCTGTTTTAAGTTTTTATGTACCACACTGTGTACATTCTATAAATGAAAAAGTTGGGGTTTTTTTTTGTAATTGTGAGCAACAAATCTAAGAGCAAGGTAATGGTTAAAAATGGATGATTTCTTAGCACTATTAAGTTCCACTTATTTGTAAACACAGAACTAAATATTTCGGTAAATAAAATTTTGTTAAATTATTCATACATTACCTTTCTAAATGCTCATTGAATTCAAAAGATACAAGCCCATTCTGTGCATTCTGGATAATAACATCATCAAACACCTTCCACCCCTCTTCTTTGTTTCCATAACCTAATTATTTCAAAGTATCACTGAGACTGTCCCCACTTTTTCTCACAGAAGCGCTCACAGCCCTGGAAAGCCAAGTAATTACAGAAATAATAAGATAAAAATAGTTCTGCAGAAAGAACTAAGCTTGTGTTTGTAGCTGTTTTCTCCTCTGCTTTCCTTGATGACTTTTTCTGTATCTGGAAATATACTCCAGAGTATGTGAATGATATAATTATGAAAAGATTTTTTTTCAATTCTCCAGAAACTGGTGAAACTTAGAGTGTTTTTTTAGGAGTCCTCATGTTTTAATGTTTTTTTTTTAAGACATACCGAAAAGTCTAAGTTTTAGAAATATTGTACTTCATGCTTTGGAAAAATCTAGACCTTTATCTAGTACATAAAACTGACTTATTATGAACCACTGTGCCATGCATTTTGACTCAGGCATCCACTGGAATGTGTACAAGTAGAGATGAGAAAATTCAAAGGTCAGACTCAAATCAGCTTGGTGTGTTATGAACACAGAATCTTTAAGTCATGCCCATTTTTTGTGTTCAATGTTTAACTTTATTGAAAATGTCTCAATATATCTTGCTGAAAAAAGCTCACAGTCTTCATTTTGACTCCTGCTAGAAATGTAGTGGTCAGCATATTTAAATAAGATACATCAAATACTGTATTATTTTTTCTGGTGAAGCTATAGCATGGAAATTTTGAGGGTTTGCTCTAGTGTTTCTAATAAAGCTCATAGTTTTGCAATCTATATTAAAGAGCAAACACATTTTTAATTCAAGAGATTATAAACCAACAGCTGTTAAAATTAATTGATTTTGATGTTGTAAAAAGTGGTGAATTTGAAGTGAGGTTCTTACTGAGGATGGTATGCTGCAGAAACCCTCTTTACTGTAGCACTAATGGCTCTTGTATCCTGTCTCATCTCCTTGCCTCTTCTTGTCTGGGTTTGGAGGACATGGTAGAGTAATAGTGACCGAGCTATTAAAAGGTTGAGCTGAAGGATGCTGGACATGAACCAGTGTGCTAGTAGATATCACTGAGTGAAACATAACATGTCTTGCTTTCAATGCTGAAACCAATGATGGCTCAATTGGCTGAATCTAAATATAGAAAGAAATTGTACAATCAAGTTGCAAAAAAATAAATCTTCCATTACATGCCTGGATTTTCTTGCAAATTGATTTATCTTTTGGAGTTGGCTAGGCTATAACAGAAGTCAGACTCCTCTCTTTAACCCAAGAACAACCTAACCAAAGTAACAGCACTTCATACAAAGCACAGAAAAATGCTTGAAAGTCATAAAAAACTGGAACTTTTATTGCCTAAAATATTTATATTGTTTTGTTCCTGATCTGAGTTCAAGTTTTGAAACACATGAGCTTCCTCAGATTTTGAAAAATTTCTGAGACTTTTTCTAATCTGTATTTTTTATAATTTTAGTTTCTCCATACTTCCAAATTAACATCTTAATAGGGAAAGGGAGAAACATAACTGAAGCACAGTTTGAGACTAAACTCAGCCAAAGACTAATACATGATAAAAACCTTTTGTTGCGCTTGCTGGCACCAAGGATGAAGTCAGTGAGAAAAATGTTCTCACCACTGGGCCAAGCAACTAAAGTTATGAGTTGACACATCTTTATTGAAAATGACTGTATTTTCTGAACTATATCAAACAAAGGTAGATAGACCTTTTTAGCTAAATCTATGCCTGACATGTGGTTTTAACAAAGCTGACAGGAAATCTGCGTGTACAGGATGTGAAGCTGCAACCACTTTTTGTAGACTTCTGATATTGGAAGAGATTGCACTTCAACATCATTGGCATACTGACTTCAGAACTGATCAGATAACAGGCTTATGGAACAAGTATCACATATTTCAAGCTTACCTTTAACTGCATAGGTGCTGGAGAACTGAATGTTTCTGGATGCTAACAGAAAGAGATTCTAGAATCCATGTTTAGCTTTTGTAAGAGTCCTGTCTTTGGAACAGTAAATGTTTCCTTCTTTAAGTATGACAATACAGAAAAAACACCTAGATGATAAATTTTCACTTCTGCAAAGCTTTTCTGAATAAAAAGAATGTGGGGTTAGAATATTGGAGGGAAAGGAAGCTGTGTTTCACAGTTTGAGAAGGTAACGTTCTCTATAGAGCAAAGTATGAAATGGAAATAAATTGAGTATTATTGCCACCTGCATGCCCAGCTACGTGGGGATCTCTAGTCATCATGTGATGTCATTCATATTCCAGTGTATGACTGGGGTGAAATGAAATAAACTTATAAACTAGGTGATGAATTTGGTCCACCACAACACTTCTGCATTTAAAAAGAGAACCATCCTGTGTTCATTTTAGATAGAGTTTGTACTTGTATTAATGGAACTGTGTTACTTTGTTGTGATCTAAAAGCACAGTGATTCTCCCTAACTTTTACTTTTATCAAATAATGCAATGCATTACATGTATTTATAATAATCATGAAATATGACTCAACCATTTAGTATTGTGGGATCAAGCATTTGCTTAACATTGGAAGTGAAAAAAAGAATATTATTAAATACTATTTTTCAAATAGAATTAGTGCTTTAAAAAATGAAAGAAAAATTCTGTTTAACCACACATAGTGGGCAATATGATTTAATAATGACAACTTGAAAAATTCCAAGAGACTTAACTGAGAACCTCAAATGCTTTTACAAGGCTTTGATGAGAGAAACCTTATGGTTTCCTTGGTATTCTTGCAAAGAAACAGGAGTTAAGTAGTTTGACTGAAAGTTCATATCAGTCACCTTCACCATAATCTCCCGATAATTTCCTCTGAAGCATGAAGTAAATGGGATTGCAATGTTGATAGGGAAAAGTAGTTTTTCATAATCATAACATTCAATACTGATGACATTGCTGACCAGCTCCTCAGAATCATCCACCACCAAGGAACTAGTGTCATTGAGTATGTTACATTTCAGATTCTCCAGAACAGTTGCAGGGGCTTTAATAAAACAAGCTATTTCCTCTACTTCCTGTTTATTTTTACCACTCCATTTGACTAGAGATCTATTTAAAAAAAATAAAATTGCATTTTGAGTGGGGTAGTGTATTGTATTTTTAATTAAATACTTCAATGATGTGCTATAATGAAGCATAAGAAGATAATTCAGAAAAATATTTTTATATATAAATGAGAAAATAATGAAAATTTTTATGTTTCAGAACATTAAAAATTACTGTATAACTTATTGTGGTCCTTTCCTACTGATTTCAAACAATTTGAGGATCATTGACTTTATTGGCTGAGACCCAGTTCCTCTCTGGCATAAAAAAAAAAAATATGCAAATAGAAACTTAAGAGTTTACTTTAGACCAAAGGGAAGTATCTTCATTGTGCATGTTCAAATTGTAAACTGCTGTTATGCGCATGACCAGCAGATGTTCACTGGATGTATATTGAGTTTCTGCACCCACACATGTTAATAAGTTAATAAGCAATAATTATGTACATCTATTCCTAAAAAAAGGAAGAATATATGCTTATTCTTTGTTCATCCAGTATCTAGATTTTTGTACTTCTTCTGAATCACTCACAGAAAGATTCACACTAGTAAGATCATAGGTTTGTGCTGAAGATGTGAAGGTACTTAGGTATTTTCTAAAAATTTCATTATTTTTTTCCATTTTACTGTCTTCCATTTTCTCTGTCAGTCTGTGCTCTTCACTTTCTAGCCCTTTTAAGTTGTCCCGGACTACTTCCTTTTTCTCCTGTTCAAAACTGTTTGTGATGCTTCAGTCACAAATGCCTGACAATGTCCCAGACAAAATGTCTTCCTCACTGTTTGTAAGAGCATCCTGAAAAGACAGTTCTGGAAGCTTTTCAGTAACAAAGCTACCTCCATGAAATTTCTCCTTCCCATTGCACTCTTTTTTCTCTGTAAAAGAGACCACTGATAGGTGGTGTTCATCATCTTCCTTTTTCATTGGGGATTCTCTGCCAGTGTCCTGTTCTTAAGGAAATTGGCTTTCCTCTAAGGATGCAATTTTTCCTACAGTTTTAATTTCACCTGTGTGGTTTTGATTAACATTTTGATTTCTGTCTTGTTCAGGGAAGGAGTTCTTTGGAATTGCTGACTCGGACTGGAAGATGCTTGCACAGAGTTTGTTACTTCTCCTTCTGAACAACGTACATCTGTTTCTCTAGAAGCATTTTCAGCAGTCTGGTTCTGAGAATCTTGTCTGCAGCTTGCAGCATAAATTTATTTTCTGCCTCTTGAAGGTGTGAGATTGTATTTATCAAATACTCCTTCACTTTCTGCAGATAATCTATAATTCTATTGTATCCTGAGGCAACAAATAAATAACCAATTAAATTTTACTATGAAAGCTAGACAAAAATGTGAAAACTATTATATGCATACTTATTGAATCCCATAGTACCATTCAATATGTGAAGCACACTCTGTTTCCTGGCCTCCATTTAATGTTTTTTCATATATTGCTATTCAGGTGGAGTCAATTTCTAAAGAACTAAGTATAGACAAGTACATTTTTGTACTTGTCTAAGAACAACTGTGTGTGTATTTGTCAAAGTTTTACTCTGGCAACTCTAATGAACACTTTTCTAAAGATCAGACATTAGCTAAATTCTTAATGACAATCAATCCAAAGCATGGTATTGATTGTCAAATCAATTTGGAGAGATCTTTAAAAATAAACATTATATTTCCTGAAATTGAATCCTGCAAGATTCTAATACATATGTCTCTAGCAAGGCTGTTATATATGGACCTAATTTTAAACTCAGACCTTAGCAGCTCTGAATTTTTTGCTATGAAGAATAGATGAAAACACAAAACCACTGACCTGCATATAATACTGAAGCTCAGCAGTTTGTAATATCCAGTTATAGGAATGCTGAAGGTTGCCCTTGCATGTAATTAAAACCACTTTGTGAAGAAGAATCCACAAGAAGCACACAATCACTATGTGACATTCATGTAAGATTCTAACTTGCATATTTTATGATCCCTTCTTTTTCTAATCTTAAACCTCTTTTTAAAAATTATTCCTGATACTGTCTCCAAGGATTTAAAATGTATTACTTAGAGCTCTTCCTGCATCTTATGCTGTCAGCCCCTATAACTGGAGAGGTATCTTCATTAGTTAGATATATTGCAAACCTTGGAAAATTTTTTGCTTCTTTCTGTTTGCTGCATGAGATCCTGGATAATTTTGTTTTGCAGGTTAAATCTCATGCAAGTCAGTACAAATAAGACAATAGTACCACACAGTATGGTATGCTCTCCACTTACAATGTACAGATACACACAAGGAAAACAGAAAGGGCTGCTACAAGTCTTACAGGAAGCCTTTGACTTAACATTCACTTTTTCAAGCAATGTCATATGAGGTATATAAATACCTCAAGGTTTTCAGCTTGGAAAATAATTTTATTAAGAATGCCATCACATAACAATGAGTAATATTATGTGATCTAGATAGACCTCTCATCTCTATTTACATCTGATTAATTTAAACCAACAAAAAATACAGTTCAGAATAGTTTTTTTATTATTTAACTTGGTCTAATAATTATTCCTTTCTAATACTTCGTCAGTTTCCAAGTGACTTGTTAGACTTTGACTACATTTGGAAAAAAATAACGAAAAAGGGAAGAAAATACATTTTTAAATATAGTTTACACTGGTAGTTTAAAAAAATATATATTATTTTACTGTTTTTCCACAGACACTTCTATAGCAGTGAAAAAATTCTAGACAGTTTAACAGGACTGAGAAATAAAAGAAAAAGATTGGAAATAACAGAGCTTTGTTTGGAGAAGAGGTAGTAAAAGACCACTTCCTAGTTTCACTGTAAGGCAAAGTTCAAGCTTAGGCAAAACTGACAGAATTTACATTTCCCCCCCTTAATTTTGCATTTTGTAAAGAAAACAAACAAACAAAAAATCCTCAAACAAATTGTACAACCCTTTAAACTTCCCTGAAATTAAATTTGAAGATAACAGGGTAATTCAAAGCAATGGCATTTTCCTATGCTGTAGATGTGGCTAATATGGGCAAGAAAAGGTATGGCCTTGTAACCATATACGATCCAATTGTGTCACATGGAAAGACACATTTTGCATTCAATTACACTTTGCTTTCTGTGCTTTTTCTGATGTTTAATAACACAGCTTTAGAATACAGAGGTAGTTTATATGTAACTGTCTCCAAACCTCTTTGCTGAGTGAGTGGTTTAAGGGAATTTTTCAGGTGAGAAATAGCTGTTTTTTGGAAGGAGAATGGTTCTTAGAAACCTGACAAAAAAAGAATTAAAAAAAATCACATAAACCATGAGGCCAGCAGGACAGTTAGCTTGCTTGGAGCCTAGAAGGAGGCTTTTTAAACCCAAGTGTTTTGTTATTATTACAGACTTTATAAATATGTAGATCAAGACTCAGAAACACAAGCATAGCTAAATACTTCTGTCTGTAATCACTTTCTCTTTGCATCATAAAGTCATCATAGAATAGAAGAACAGTTTGAATTGGAATGAGATGATCTTTAAGGTTCTTTACAACATTCCTTCCTGTCTTGGGCAGAGACACTTTCTTGTAGACCACGTTGCTCAAAGTCTTATCCAGCCTGTCCTTGAACACTTTCAGGAATGAGGCATCCACAAGTTCTCTGCCGCCTTCTCCTCCTTCTGTGTCTCATTGCTCTCTAAGAAAAGAATTTCTTCCTAACATCTAATCTAAATCTCTCCTCTTTTAGTTTAAAACTGTTTACTCCTGTTCTAGCACTATGTGTGATAGTGTCCATATTAAAAAAATCACTCTTCCTCTTTTTTAAAAGCCACTTTTAAGAATTAGAAGGATGCAACAAGGTATCCCCTGAGCCTTCTCTTCTTCAGCCGGAACAGCCCCATCTCTCTCAACCTTTCTTAAAAGGACTGATGCTCTGATCTGTCTGGTCATCTTCATGGCCTTCCTCTGGACCTGCTCCAACAGGTCCATATTCTTGTGCTGGAGACTCCAGACCTTTATGCAGTGCTTCAGGTGAGGTTTCACAAGAGTGGAGTAGAGAGGGAGAAACACCTCCCTTGACTGTTGGATACTCTTCTTTTAAGGTTTAATGTTGATACACCTTAGATAGAAATGTTAGTTTTCTCTTCTCCTTTGATAAATATTTGTTATTATGTTGATGTCCACCTACTGCAGGACTGAGCTGAGCATGGAGCAAAGCCCCTGTGAAAAGATATTTAAGAAAGGACGAGAACACCAGAGAAAATTGAGGACTGAGGAAAAAAGTGTGAGAACCAGCCCTGAAAACAAGGTCAGAGAAGAAAGAAGTTAGTGCAGAAATGGGGCAGAGATTCTCTTGCAGCTCATGCGAGACCAGACTGGAGCACACAGCCTGAGGAGGACCTGATGCCAAGGAAATTAGATATACCCTCAAGAAATATCTGTTTACAATCCAGTTTTTCCTGACAGGAACTGCAGACCATGGGAAGGACCCACAGTGGAGTATGGAAAAGTATAAGCAGGAAGGAGTGTAGAGGGAACTGTTATGGACAGACTTTTGCCCTCATTTGCCATTGCCCTGCACTCCTCGGGAGGGAGAGGAGGTAAAGGAATTGGGAATGAAAGAGTGAAGTTGAGTGTGGAAAAAAGAAGGAAAAGTGGAGGAAAGGTCTTGTTTCAATGTTTTGCCTTTGCCTCTCACTATCCAAATCTATTTAAATTGACAATAAATTAAATTAATTTTTCCCTAAATTAAGTCTATTTTTCCCATGATGGTAATTTTAAATGATTTTTTCTGTATCAACTCAGGATTTTTTTCCATCTTATTTTCTTTCCTTTTCCCATTGAAGAGGGGGTGGTTACTGGGTTGGCATCTGGTGCCTGGCCAAGATAACCCCACTAAAGTAAAGTGTACATAAAACTTTGAACAATTCTGTTTAGTTAATTTTACTTCTATAATTTTTGATCACATAATGAGAATTATGAATTTCATATTGAATCTCATAGAATGGACTCAAAACCTACCACAGTGTGATACAACTGTGGGAATATTAATTGATTTGGTCTATGAAATGCTAAAAAATGAACATTAAGCATATCATAAGCATCATTAAGCATATCAGACAGCAGACCTCAGCATCTAATGTACCCAGTGTGTCTGCTCACAGACAAGTCCTTCCATACTTGCCTGGACTTCCAGTCAATTCTTTGTGTTTATCATGGAGAGCACTCAGCAAGTGGCAGGTGTCTTGAATAATTTCTGTAACATTTTCCAGCTGCTGGCTGAGAGATCTGCTCAGCTCTTTTGCTAAAGAGGTCAGCCCAAGCACATACTCCTCCAAACCTCCTTTATCCAGGTCACTTGTCAGAAGCGTGTCTCTCCCCTGAAAGTTCAGGTAACCAATTTTTCCTAGGTCTTTCCCTGATTTCTCTGCAGGTGTAATCTTACTTTCAGCCATATACATTTTATGTTCAGAATATGGTACAACAATTTTTTTTTTCTGCTCAAACACTTCTACAAGTTGTTGTCCTTTGTTCAGGCTACCACACTGCTTAGCATTTCTAGCCTAAACAGAAATTTTAAAAGTACTGTATTTCACAAACCAAACTCTAGCTCAGAAACTCTGAGTTGATGTTGACTATTAAAAAGTTACTAGGTGACAAGAAGGAGTGGCTGTTTTGTAGCTACAGGCGAGGATTGTCAGGAGACACCAGGGTACACCATGCACCTTTAAGGGAGGTTACGTAACTCCATTATGTAGGAGTGACTTAAAATTTCAGGATATCTGAGTAATTTCTTATTTCAGTGGCTACAAATGATCAGTACTTACGAAATCAAGTTTAATTGGTTATTTACAATTATATACTCACCAACAATGACACACAGACACACAGAATCACTAGGTTGGAAGATACCTTCAAGGACATCAAGTCCAACCCATGCCCTAATGCCTCAACTAAACCATGACACTGAGTGCCACGTCCAGTCTTTTTTTAAACACTTGGCCAGAGCGTTCCAGTACTTTATCACTCTTTCTGTAAAAACCCTTTTCCCATTATCCAGCCTAAATTTCCCTTGATGCAGCTTAAGACTGTGTCCTCTCGTTCTGTCAGTTGCTGCCTGGAGCAAGAGCCTGACCTCAACTTGACTACAGCCACTCTTCAGGGAGTTGTACAGGTCACCTCTGAGTCTCCTTTTCTCCAGGCTAAACAACCCCAGTTCCCTCAGCTGTTCCTCAAGGGTTTGTGTTCCTCACAGCCCCTCACCAGCCTTGCTGCCTCCTCTGGACGTGCTCAAGTGTCTCAATGTCCTTCCCAAACTGAGGGGCCAGAACTGGACACCGAACTCAGGTGTGGCCTCACCAGTGCCCAGTACAGGGGGAGAATGACCTGCCTGCTCCTGCTGGCCACACTTCTCCTGATCCAGGCCAGGATGCTGTTGGCCTTCTTGGCCACCAGAGCACACTGGTGGTTCATGTTCAGCTGGCTGTCAATCAGTTCCCCCAGACATTTAATTTTTAAACACAGGATTCTATACCAGATCTCATGACAACAAATGAGACAGTAATGGCCACTTAAATTACAGTTGACTCTTCCAGGCTTTTTATTCTTCAGCAGTCTTAAAGAGAATGTATATTTAGGCTGTCTGATGATCTGATGATCAGAATTTGAAGGTCTCTAAATTCAATGATTCATATAGGAAATCCATTGTTTTAGTAAAATAAAAAAAAAAAGTCCCACATCCTATCTCAATTTCACTGCAGTGCTGGACTATGAAAACCTATTTATTATATTTTGCTCTCAATTTGCTGTTTCTCCTTAGTTGAAGAATGGTGATGAATTATGTAAATGGAATTTCTTAATCTATGATGCTGTTCACTGAATAGTCTTATAATTTAAGGCTCATGTTTATGTACCATATTGACAGGTATTACATAATGTAACAATAAAGTCTTTGGGAACAATCGTGGTTTTTACTTGACACAAGCTCTTGACCAAGGAGATCCAGTTGGTGCAGTAGCAGCTTTCAGGGCTCTGCATGGCCCCATGGGGTTTCATGGTCCAGATCAGCCTCACCTGGTGTGTGCAGGTCATTAGCTATGCCACGCTTTGAAGCTTTCTGAACACTACGAATTGTAAAAGAATATGTGGCTGCAATTAGTATATTATAATTGGAAGACAGGAAGGGCAAATAAAGTAGGCAATACAATTTATTCAGACATACTACAGTGTATATCCTCTGAAAATATATGACTATGCCTAGTATAGAGTACACTCAAGAAAAAAATATTGTAATAACAATTACAAGTCAATGAATTCAGTGAATTCAATGCAATATGATAAAGAATTTAGTATAAAGGTTATTTAGATATAATAAAATTTATATCATACAGTAAATGCTGGAGTCACTTTAATCTTGTACTTTTGTGAAGTTAATTCAGCCTGGATTAGTTACTGAGATGGTGTACTGTGCAGCTTATCAGTTACAATGAGAACATTGAGACTTTAGGAATAAGCAGACTTGATAAGTACAGTATTACTCAATTCTCTAGCAGTCAGGTTTAACAGTGAAACTACAGTTTGGTCTTTCAGCCTTTACTACAGAAAATCAGAGCAGAGGAAAAAAGACACAGGTACACAGAGACACACAAAACCAGTCCAGGGATATCTGATCAGGAGCAACTGTCTAAGATTTGGCCACAGTGGATCCTTAGCCTTGCTGGAAATACCTGCCTGAAATACACTCTTTAACTCGAGAAAGAATCAGGTCCATAGGGGCAGGATGAAGACACAAGCTGTCATATTATCCACTGCCCACAGACCTGAGTTAATTACTCTTAGAACAGACTCACAAGAAGAGACATGGCTATCCAGCAACCCAATTGTTAAAGCAGGGCCCTATGTCCAGGTAGGTAATGTAATGCAACAGGAAGAAAATGATAATTTGAGTATCACATATGTAAGAAATAAAAGTCCCAAACCAATTGTGATAAATATAGAATTGTTTCTAGATTTTGTTTCTTTCAGGTCTTGTGATGTTATTTATTTATTTATTTCATGTGAAAGAACTAACAACAAAAGACCTGTGCACTCATTCTCAAAGTTAAGTTATCCACTGAAATCTGATTTTTTAAAGAGTGATCATCAGCAAAGCTACATCAGCAGAAAAAAAATGAATTGGAAAAATTTGTTCTGTGCTTGATTTTGTTTCAAAATAGTTCCTATTCCTGGGTTACATTCACAGTTAACTATATTCTCTAAGCATCTGAAAAGTCCTTTTAAAAAAGAGCTTTTTCATCCATATTAAATAATAGCCTTGGATTTAGGAAGAACAAAATATCCAATTTAGAAAAATAGGGACCAAATAATACATTTAAATTAAATTACCTTTTAGCAGATATTCATGTTCTTTTTAGGATACCTTAGAAGTGTTGCATAGCTGATAACAAAGGAAGTGGGCATTGTTCTGCCAGGAAAAGAGATTAGGGTGTATGGTGCAGATCCAATAAGTTCTGCCTATATACTCTGCATGTAATGCAAAGTTCAGTATGTGACAATGAATGCATTTTGGTGTGTTTATTGATCTGTTCATTTTTCAAAATATGTGTAATGGTTATTCTTCCCATCTCTGGTATTCTAAGGCCCAAGTTAAAAAGCAATAATAGTATAAGAAAAATTAAGGAAGTGCTACAGATGCACTGTGCCATAGAATTTATATCATATATTCACGTAAATGCTTCATTTAGCATTCTATTACAGTTACCACTGCTGGTCACTGACATAATCCCTTTGAAATATATGATTATGATGGTTAAACATGGTTAAAAGAGGTATCTCTTTCTGAGTGCAGTCATAGCACTTGATTAAGCAATCTTAACTACAAATCAAGTGTTTAAGAGCCTCACACTAGGAAAAGCAAAACTCCAGAGCTGAGGAGGAAGTCTGAGCTACCTACAAAATATAGTGCGAATGAAGGAGAAGATAAAAATATCAATACGTATTCTCAAATCTATATACTGTATTATCCTATTTACAGGAAAGAATCTTGGAAATCCCTCTTGAACTGTAAAATGCGTACGTAAGTAATAACCTAATTATAAGCTTTAGGAAAAACTAATTCTTGAAAGAAAAATGCCTTTTTTATGTGATCAGCAATAGTATTTTGTAGTTATCAAACACAGAAAAATGATAGACTTTTATATCCAATATTGAAATAACACTTGTTTAATGGCAATCTTAATTAAATTTTAGAAAGGGAAGGTTGTAGAAACATGACATGAAAGTGCTGTTTTCACTTGACAGAAGTGAAGAGACAGAAAACTAAGGAAACTGTTTGTGAAATGGGATGTATAGAGTAAAACTTTAAAGACTTGACACCACTCAGCTTCTAACTTAACCTAGTAACTTTACAAGAAATTATTCATGGACAGATGGGGTATCTTCACTTTGAGTTTTCTGTTAAAGTGTTATTTGTATATACAGTAAGCTTCCAGTTTAACACCTTTGATTTCTGGGAAGTGAGTCAGCTATCATGGGTTGCTTTCTTTGGTTGCGCAGAAAGCAGTGACAAAAAGAGAAAACAGAAGAGAGAGAACAGGTTGTCCAGAGAAGTTATTCCAGAGAATACTATCCCTGGAAGTGTTCAAGGCCAGTTTGGATTGAGCTCTGAGCAACCTGTCTAGTGAAAGGTGTTCCTTCCCATGGCAAGGGCTTGGGACTAGATGATCTTTGAAGTCCCTTACAATTAAGGCCATTCTACAATTCAATGATTCTATGATAATGTGTTTCATCAGACATAAATAGTGTGAAATTGTATTTAACTACGAACAATTTCAATTGTGATTGTACTACGGAATTTTTTTCCTCTAGAAATAGTTCTGTGATGTCTTTTATATTTCTTTACTTTCCATAACAAATTTGCTTAAGCAACAAGTAAAATGAAAGAGAGAAGTGCATGAAATAGTGACCTTTAAATCTAACAGCATCGTTAAAAGTGTCAAATGTGGTTTCTGTTGAGTTTGAATAAGCCAATGCTGAGATAAAATCTTAATGATGTATGATTCATTACAATTCAATGAGCTGTGCAAAAGATAAATATGGGGAAAAAATCAGCACTTTGATGTGCAGGAAATTTCCTTAGAGGGATTTATTTTCAAATAAGTTAAAGAATGCTCCATTAAACTTCTCAAAGAAGACAGAAAGCTATGCCAAGGTAACCAAATCCTCTAAGTGAGAGCAATAGAAAATAAATAAAAAAACTCTGAACACACCACATGCTTTGAAGATACATTTGTATTGAAAAACAACTTGGAAACCTTAAAATATAAATGAGAGACAGAAGTGGTAGAATAAGATCCCATTTGGAACACAAGTACTCTTATAGAAAGTATTAAAGACACTAGATTTAGATTTTCTAGTGACAGATTTCTTGGAGAAACTTTAGTCAGCAACTAGAAACCTTCCA